TAGCGAGCCCGCGGAGCAGCGGGCTGGCGGGCCATGATGGTGGCGGGGGAGTCGGAAGTCCCGTCCGGGCGGAAGCGGCGAGCCCGTCCCGCCGCCGCCGCCGCCCCGCCTCACCCGGGGGCTCCGGGGAGAGAAGCCCGACCCGAGCCTCGCTCCTGGGGGTTTCGTGCCGTTTAAGCGAGGTCTCCGGCCCGCTGCCCTGCGGTCGGAGTATTCAAAATGAAAGTAGCCCCTGGCGGGGAGGGAGGGCAGTCCCCGGGAGAAGCCACTAGGGGGCTCGGGAGGCGCCAGTATTGTTTTTCTGGCTTTAGAATCGGTAACTAGGCGGTTGTACGTTACGGAGAGGTTTCATTGAGCTCGGAACCTAACGCGTGTGCGGATCTTTCTTTGTGGAAAGTTTTGGGGGGTTCCCCCTCCCCTTTTTTTTGGCCGGTTGTGCGGCCAGGACTCCGGGCCACCCTCTCCCTTTTAAGATCTTCCGCTCAAGACCGGTGCTCTGCCACCTATTGGGCCACAGTTTCACTTCTGGGTTTTTGCTGGTTAATTGGAGATAAGTCTGTGGGGCAGTTTGCTGGAGGCTGTGTGTGTGTACGTACACGTGTGTACACGTACGTACGTACTGGCTTCGAACTTCGATCTTCCGATCCCACGCCTCCCGCCTAGCCTGGAGTTACGGGCATGAGCCACCGGCGCCCAGCTACTTTGGTAGTTACACTTAAGGCCTAGGAGGGGATTTTCCAAAGAGATAAAAGTGTTACAAGTTTGGTGGAAGGCCGAGGCACAAGAATCACATGAGCCCATGAGTTGCAGACTAACCCGGGCAACGATAGTGAGCCACCCCTTAGTTCACGAAATAACTTAAGGGCTGTGGGTTTCGTTGAAGTTAGTTGAGCAGAAGAGATAAGAGGTGTCCACGGGGAAGTTAGCGATAATGAATATTAAAAGGGCCAAAGGCAGGAATTTTAAAAACCAGGAGGAAAAAAAAATCTGAGCAAGTTCTGCCAGTTTTTTAGTTTTAAGTTACAAGAATAGTGAGACATATATAAGGGTTATCTCTAGTCTGCTTTATGTAAGAAGCTGTGAGCTCCGAATAGGTAGAGAATCAGAAAATTAAAGAAGACCTGATGTTTGGTATTGGGTTAGCTCAGGCCACTTGTCTTCATGTTTTATAATGGTAAGACTCAACCATGTTTTGGGTAATAAGCCCATCCTAAGCCCATTGTCTAATAATTAAGGGTTGCGGTTGCTAGATCACAGGAACACATGTGTTTTCCCAGCTCAGGAAATATAAACCCCCTTAGAAAAACCATTTGTTAGGCTTTTCTGTTTCTGCTGTATTTTAAGCAGGAGTTACTTTTATTTGCCTGTTTTGGTTCCTGTGACTCCCTAGTTGTTGTTTTTTTTTTTTAACTAAAACCTTTGCTAAACTTCCACTTGTGAGTTTGTGGAACTCTTCGATCTCTTTTGTCCTGGATATTTAGGTCCCCATGAATTGTGTGGAAATTGGGAAGCCGAGTTTTTTGCCTTCTCTACTATTGGAAAAATGCCATTTTAGCTTTTCCCTTTCCTTGGTAACAAATTATATCTCAGTTTGTTTTTAAGTGTCCAACTGATAGCTATAAACTTAAGTACTTAAGAGGGACAAATGCCCCCCACTGTATTGAGTGTGAACAGCACCTCATTCTTTTTAATTGCTTAGGCTGAAGAATTAGCCACAGGGCCTATGTCCTATCTTACAGCAAATCTTGCTGGCTTATTTCAGAATATGAGGAATCAAAAAAGACTTCTCACATTCTCCACTGCTACTACCATTCTCCTTTCTAGCCTCTCCCCCCTTTAAACGCTGGTATTTTTGTTAATCCTTAAGCCCATTGGGTGTTTTCTCATCTCCAAGACCACTATTGCTTTTTCCCTGCCTAAAAGTGACACCGGTCTGGCTTTCCTAGGCTGCTTTAGTTAAGGTTCAGAGAAGCAGAATCTGTAGGGGCGAGAATAAGAAATTGACTTACACAGTTGTAGGAATTAGCTAAGCAGGTCTAAAATTTGTAGGCCAGGTAGACAGAAATGGAATATCATAGGCAGACTGTCCCTTTGAACTGGTTAAAGCTTTTCTCCAGCAGAAGTCTGGGAGAGAAGTACACAAGCTAGATAGAAAGGAAGCCTCTGCTCTGCTAGCTGTTAAGACCTTCCAACTGATTGGGCCCAAGTGGATTATCCAGGATATCTTTCCCTTACTCAAAGTGACCCTGATTAGGGCTTTAATTATATGTGCAAAATTCCTTCCCAGCAACATTTGGTTGTTTTTTTTTTTTGACTGAATAACTGGAGGTTTAGGCCAAGTTTACATCTAAAAATACCAGCCTACCAACTATCTCAGTAATTTCATCCTCACCCGTTTCTGTCCTCCTCTTACCTGTTAAAGTAGTCTGTGGGCAGTTGTGGATGTTTTGTGCTCAGTTCTTTCTTCTCTATATATTTATTAATGTCTGGAGAGACATTTTTGGTTCTCACAATTGGAAAAAAAACAAAACACTACTAGCATTTAATAGGTAAGGTCCATAGACTCTTAAACATCCTATAATGTACAGGGCAACTTTTCCCCCACCTACAATCCCTTCTCCCAATAATAGAACCATCTAGTCCAAAATTAGTACAGCTAAACTGTAATAGAATTAAGTTCCAAAGATCTACAGAGACAGATTTGTCTCCATTTACCTCATTTTTAATCTTAATTAGAATGGAGATGACACAATAGGTAACCAGTAAATACTGATTTAACAACACAGATTACCTAATCTCTTTAGTCCATCCCTAAGTGATTCTTAACCATAGCAAGTTTAGGAAGCAAGCCCTAGATGTTAAGTAATGGCTTTAGATTCTTGGTTGCAAATAACGGCTTCTATATTTTATCTGTGAGTTGGGGCTAGTTATTTAAATTCTCAGAGGCTTCTGTTTTCTTTCTTATCTATATGGGGACTAGAATAGCTAATAACACTGCTAGGTTAGTCAGTGTTCACATAAAAACAACACAATTACTAAAAATATGTCTTTGTACCATTTCAGGTTAAGAACTGAAAGAAGATGCACCTGGACTTTCCCCGGAGCCTTCTGCATTTTTAATCATCAGGTGGAATCTAGGGTTCTCTGGCCCTAAACCATATTTGTTTGACAAAAGTAGAAATTAGTTCTACCTTAGTGGACAAATTGTTGCCTACCATAACTGTCTCCCATTGAAGGCTTCTGTGACTGCTCTTTAAGCTACAAAACTCTGTGCTCAACTTTGTCTGACATCTGTCCTGTCGAGTGTTCATGATGCTGGGCCCTGAGGGAGGTGAAGGCTTTGTGGTCAAACTCCGTGGCTTGCCATGGTCCTGCTCAATTGAGGACGTGCAGAACTTTCTCTCCAACTGCACGATTCACAATGGGGTTGCAGGTGTCCATTTCATTTATACTAGAGAAGGCAGGCAGAGTGGTGAGGCTTTTGTTGAACTTGAATCACAAGATGATGTAAAATTGGCCCTGAAAAAAGACAGGGAAAGCATGGGCCACCGGTACATCGAGGTGTTCAAGTCACATAGAACCGAGATGGATTGGGTGTTGAAGCACAGCGGCCCAAACAGCGCTGACTGTGCCAACGATGGCTTCGTGCGGCTCCGGGGCCTCCCATTTGGATGCACAAAGGAAGAAATCATTCAGTTCTTCTCAGGGTTGGAAATCGTGCCAAATGGGATCACATTGCCAGTGAATGCTGAGGGCAAGATTACAGGGGAGGCCTTCGTGCAGTTTGCCTCACAGGAATTAGCTGAGAAGGCTCTAGGAAAGCACAAGGAGAGAATAGGGCACCGCTATATTGAAGTGTTCAAGAGCAGTCAGGAGGAGGTTAGGTCCTACTCAGATATGCCTCTCAAGTTTATGTCTGCACAGCGGCCAGGGCCCTACGACCGGCCTGGCACAGCCCGGAGATACATGGGCATTGTGAAGCAGGCAGGCCTGGATCGGATGAGGTCCAGCGCCTACAGTGCAGGCTATGGGGGCTACGAGGAGTATAGTGGCCTCAGCGACAGCTATGGCTTCACCACCGACCTGTTTGGGAGAGACCTCAGCTACTGTCTCTCCGGAATGTATGACCATAGATATGGAGACGGCGAGTTCACCGTGCAAAGCACCACGGGCCACTGCGTCCACATGAGAGGGCTGCCCTACAAAGCCACCGAGAACGACATTTACAACTTCTTCTCTCCACTCAACCCCGTGAGAGTCCATATTGAGATTGGCCCAGATGGAAGAGTGACAGGAGAGGCTGACGTGGAGTTTGCTACCCATGAAGAAGCTGTGGCGGCGATGTCCAAAGACAGGGCCAACATGCAGCACAGATACATAGAACTCTTCCTGAATTCCACCACAGGGACCAGCAATGGGGTGTATAGCAGCCAGGTGATGCAGGAAATGGGGGTGTCTGCTGCCCAGGCCACCTACAGTGGCCTGGAGAGCCAGTCAGTGAGTGGTTGCTATGGGACCGGCTACAGCGGTCAGGATAACATGGGAGGGTATGACTAGTTTTGTAGGAGCAGTTGAGTTAATTGAATTTTCACAGGCAGCCAGTTAGCAGTGAAAAGCAGTTTATACTAGAGGAAGCTGTGGGACCCATTTTACACCATGAGTTTGTGAAATATAGATTTAAAAATTACTTAGTGTTTTTTCATGCAAACTTTTCTTCTAGCATGTGATATTGAATAAACTAAAACTTTTTTCTTCCACTTTTCTTGATTAACATTTTTGCTAGTATACTTCAGAGTGCTGTTATCTGAGTTCAAGTAGTTGAAGTATGTGCAGGGTGGATCTTCACCCACAGGAGCACAGTGGGGACGTGTACTTTTTGGAGATCTCAAAGGTGCTAGATCCCTAATCAACGAGCAGCAGTTCTCATGTTTGTTCATTCTAGTTTATACTTTCATTTAATATCTTTTAGGTTAGGTTAAGTTTTAAGTTTTTTAAAAGTTAGTTTTGAGAATTGAGACACAATACTAATACTGTAGGAATTGGTGAGGCCTTGACTTAAAGCTTTCTTTGTACTGTGATTTCCTTTTGGGTGTATTTTGCTAAGTGAAACTTGTTAAATTTTTTTGTTAACTGAATTTTTTTCTTAAAATAAAAAATTTTTCACAATGAAAAAATATGTATATGTATATATGCTATAAACATTAGGTCTGATTTTGTTACTCATATCCTCATCCACAGCTAGGCCTTAGACCTAATCATGTCAGAGCTGCCCATTTTTAAAATCGAAAAGCCTATGTTCTGAAGTCAGTTCTGTTTTTCCAGCACGCCTACCTAATCACTACATCAACACCGTAGTCCTTTGGCATCTCCCAGTTTCCCCTTTTTATTGGCCTGTACAGCTGGTTTATGATCATCAATGTTATTCTCTTAAACTTGGGGCTGTTCCCTGGGCCCTTGGCCATTTTATTACACTTTCCCAGCAAGGCCAGTCCTGCTTAAATTTTCCTAGACATGGTTGGTGACTGGCCATTCCCAGATGATTTTTCTTGTTGGCACCATTTAAAACAGCTCAAATCTCCCATCCAATTGAGCAACAAAACACTCATGTGGCTTGTTTCTAGCTCTTATCTGTAGCATCCCCTACATTACCCTGCAGCAGTTCTGAGTAATGGGATTGAATGGGTCTGGAAGTCAGAAAAAAGCCGACCTTGCACCCTTGAGGTAAATGATAGAGGGCTGGGGGGATGTAGCTCATGGTAGAGTGCTTTCCTAGAAATGCATAAGGGTCTGGGTTCAATCTAGCACCACCACAAGAAAAGGAGCATCACCGTAAATAACTCATACCAGGGTTATTGTATGTAGTTCTAGTACCCCAAATAAATCTGAGTTTGAGCCTTTTCTGTAAAATTATACTTTCAAACAATGAAACAAACACAACTTTGCAATGAATGTGTTTGGAAAGTTTTAAAGGTGTGAGAATTGCTGTTTTCCCACAGCGAACAAACTAGATTCTATAAGCTTGGGATTATGTAGTTTTTTTCCATTTAAATACTTGTAATTTCTACTTTGTGACCCTGTCTAACGTCTGGATTTCCTTGCAAATAAACATTAAAAGATATGCTTCGAGTCTTCCTTTGGTAGTAAAAATTTCATTTCATAAAGGTAATCTAGATACATAAACATGGCAAATATCTTACCTCATTAGTTGAGAAAACTGGTGAGATGTTAAAACTTCCAGAGTATTTGAGCATCTGGGTAATTTTATCCAACTTGGGGATGGAATATTAGAAGCTCACACAAGGTTAGAGATTGGCTAGTGACCTATAGGGCAGTAAACTGACCTTTAGGATAATAGTTGAACCAAAAAGAAAGTAGGTTTACATTTCCACTTTAGAAAAACACAAGTTACAGTTTGAGATGAACAAGCTCTAATTCCCCCGGTCCTTGGGTGGATGTTTGAAGGTTATGCTCCTCACCTTTTTGCCTTGTTTCCAAGTTTTCGATTTTCCTCTGGAAATGGAATGGTCTTTTGTACTTTACCATGCTGGGCATCCTACCTCCTCTAGTTACTCCTATCAAGCCCACTTGTGACCTGAACTCAATGGGTATTTTCCACGTAATTTAGACCCATATTTTGGTAGTGGTCCTGGGAATGAGATTCAGGACCTTACATGTTACTAGGCAGGTGATTTGCCACAGAGCTACCTTCAACCCAAGTGTTCTCCATGAATTTCTCATTACTTAAAATATACCACATGGGCCAAAGATATCTGTGATCTGGTTTAAGCTACAAGCTGTGTTGTTTTTTAAACAGGTCCTAATTTTGTTCGTAGTTTTTGTTTTGTTTGAGACAGTATCTTCCTATGGTAGCCCAGTCTCCCCTGGAACTCTGCAACCCAGGCTGGCCTTGAGCTCATCCTCTTGAACTTGCCTCCCAAATGCTGCAATTACAGGCAAGTACCATCAAAGACAGGCCAGGTGATGGTGGCGTATGCCTCCTAGCTAATCAAGAGACAGATCTGAGGACCATAGTTCAAAGCCACTTGCAGTAGAAAAGTCGAGACTGTTCTTTCCAACTGAACAGCAAAAAAGCTAGACTGAAGGTGTGGTTTAGATGGTAAAATGCCAGCCATGAGCAAAAGCAGAGCAAAATCACAAGGCCCTGAGTTCAAGCGCTGATACAGGCACGAAAGAAAGTGGGCAGAATAGGACTCTGCACACTGCCTCCAATCTCTGTAGAGCCCCTAGGTTCTGTTCGGGCTAGTCCACCTATTAGTCATTTGAAGAGAGGACAGACAAATTTGGTAGCTGTGTACTCAGCAACAGACAAAACTTGTTTTCAGAGCAAAAATGCAGATGAACACTATTTGGAAAGCAGAACAGAAATGATTATGGGAAGAGTTGCTCAGGTCCCTGGCATTCCAGTCTCTTGAGCCAGTACCTCTTCAGGCCCAACTATTTGGCTGTGCCCTGCTTCATGTTAATTTTTAATTTTTTGGCAGTACTGAGGTTTGAACTCAGGTTCTCATGGTTACTCAGCTGATGCACTACCACCTGAGCCATGTCTCCACTCTTTCTTTTTGCTAGTTAAAGTTGGAAGTCTAGTGGAGTCTTCTGCCTGGGCCATCTTTGAACCACAATCCTCTGGATCTTAGCCTCCTTAATAAATAGGACTACAGGGGCCAGTGAGCCACTGACACTGGCTAAAACTTAAGAAACTAGCTTGAGAAGGCTAATTACTTTTTTGATGGTGCAGGGTTTGAACTCAGGGCCTCACACTTGGAGGTAGGTGCTTTGCCACTGAGTCATGAGGGCAATGGGGCGGCGGTGCACAGGATATCATTTTGTGGAATACATCCTAGAGCAAATGCTTTGTGTTTTCTAAATTGACTTGAGGCTGGACATGGTGGTACATGCCTATAATCCCAGTACTGGGGAGGCTGAGATACAATTCAGGGCTAAACAAGACTGTCTCCAAACAAACATGGCAACAACAAAACGAACCGAGTGGACTGGAGTCTAGTGTCAGATAAAAATTGTTATACATAAACACTAGGTTCAAATAATTCAGAATAGTTAATCTGAAGAAAACTGGAGACATTTTTGAACTTCAGAACAAATATTTATTACTACTTAATGGGACCACAGGGGGAACACAAAGCATTGAAAATACCCCTGGCTCACAAAAACAGTCACCTTGTCACCTTCTTGGTTGCATTTATTTATTTTACAATGTTTCATTCACACATGAAAACAAGATGGTAATTCAAGTTCATAATGATTATAAAAGTAAACATTTGTTGGGACAATGTACAATAAATTGCACATTTCTTCACAAGCATTACATTTACATTTATAGAGTGTACTATGCATAATACATGGAATTATGGTAACATCTAACTGGTCATTGTTTACAGAGGAAGAAGCTGATGACCAATGTTTCTTTTGTAGTCGATTAGCACTGTCAAGACTAATCAACTCCTTTATTACATTACCTGTTTTCATTACAGATGGTGTGGGAAAAATCATAAGTTTCATAATAGTACAGAATTTCTACTACCTCTTCAGCAAGGGAAAGGTAGGAGCTGGAATAAAGTGAGAACAACTGAGAAATCTTTCTCCTTATGTGAACTAAGAATCCATATATTATGTAAAATACCAAAAATAGAGAAACTGATGCAAAAGGCTATTGGGAACATGTTGGATTCTGGGACCATTTCCAGCTTTATTCTTGTGCTTTCAACACAAGTATCTTTTGATGCAGTTGTATTCTCACACATCAGGTTTCCCTATTTTATTCCATATAGCATATAGTTATTAAAAGTAACAATTGGAAGAGAAATATTTTACATGTTAGCCAATTGTCAGTGGAAAAGGAAAATATCAAAATAGTTTCTCCTCAATAATTCATTTTTCTTAAACTTTGTAGAATACAACTAAAGATAAACCAAGGATGGGGCATGTAAAAGGGATATATTGAAGATGTTTTTATTATCAAGTAAAAAACTCATTTGGAGGTAAGCTTGACATGTAGTTTTTAAGATGGAAATCGAGAAAGACATACAAGAGAGCAGACTGTAGTCATTAAAATCCCATAAACACCTACTTTTCTCCTTACACATTAAAATCAGCATTGCCTGTTGAGATACAGCCCTCACTGGAGTCCTCATTTTTGTAGATTTTAAAACGTAAGGAAGTTGTTAAGGTAAAGGGCCTTGACTATGTCCTAGAAATGCCACTGAACAAAGAACAATGCTTTCAAACTGTTCTAGCTGACCATCAGCACAATGACTAGAGTTTTCTATCAAGTAGTGGGAAACAAGGCCACAGAGGTGTTGGTCTGGCCTTCTAGTTTTTATCACGTTTTGAAATTTCAGTGCATGTGGTGGGAATGTACACTTATACAACCACTTTGGAAAGCAGTCTGGAGGGTCCTTAGAAAGCTAAAGATTGACCTCCCTTACGACCCAGTCATACCACTTCTAGGCATCTACCCTGAACAACAG